TGTTCGTCTTCTTACGGCATTATTCAAATTACTAAAGGGATCTAATTGTTTCAAATTATCCGTCAATGCCATGACGCAGAAAGGAACACCTGGACTATCCCCACTGTGATTGAACCACCTGAGGTGACATCACGAACTGTTATTCTAATGACACCTGAGTTCAAGTCTCGGGTAACGCGGTTATCGCCCCTGTTCGCTATAAAATCCCACTCCAATTGCACACGGATTAGTCTGGTCTGATGAAGCCATTGTGTCAAGAGCGAAACTTTACCAAGCTACTTTACCAACCGATTGATTCCAAACCTCTCTGAACAAATGATCGGTAGATTTGCCTAGAGACTTCCTACAGAGCACTGTCTTGTCAACAGGCCAGCACCTTACGTTTGTCCTCTCTCTTTCACTTCTGAGAGCGGGCTGACAATGCACCACCGACAGAAACACCCCGAAGACTATCTCGCCCTAATCAGATCGAGGAGAGCCATTCGCAGCGCCTTCTGGTCGAAGGAAGAAGACGCCAAGATATTTCGGTTAGCCGACGAATTGCATTCCGTGTAGAAAACTTTGAAGAATTTGTTGCTCTGCCTTCACCAGCATAATGCAACGAGAACACGAGCGACAATTAGGAGAAGGTTGCAGCATCTCAAGTGGACCAACTCACCACTGTTAAAGAACGTAGAGGTCCAGAGGGTTTCATGCAAAAGGGCAGGAACCTCACGATCAACGACGGAGGACTTTGCAGCATCGTACACTCTTTTGGTAGGCCATTAATTAGACTGCAATTACACACCCTCTACAACATTTTCCGACGTTTCTATTGTTCTGGGACACAGTAACTCGCGAGTAGAAACCCACCGCCCGCATTCCCCTTCCAGAGGTCACCCAAGCCGCGGATTGGGGCCTATCAACACCCTGCGGCGCAGGTCTCGGCCATTCTCCCTACGCCTCCTGTCCTGAATTGCCAAGACAGCAGGCCTGCTGGTTCTTGTTCAACAATCTCGAACAGCTTGGTCTCTGCCGAAGTCTATCCCAGCCATCGGAATCGCTCGCCTAGCACACCTCACACATCATTTCATTCATCTCACAACTCCCTTGTCTCGTTAGATTCCCCCAACGTATCATACCAGCAGCCGAACACCCCGGCCGCTACCAATACAGCAACAGCAATGGCTGCACCGCCTCAATAACCGTTCACATCATCCGAGTTGCAGCAAGAAGACAATTTACCAGATTTAACGACTGACGCCATACTCCTGCATTACTGCGACGTATGCGCGCGCTCTTTTTCCACAAGCGTGGGCCTAGGTCAACACCTGGCTTATCACCGCAGCAACGTAACGGGATTTTTGGCTGATACTGTCGTTGTCAACTGGACGGAGTTCAAATGCTCAACATGCAGCAAAACATGCAAAAGCAAGCATGGTTTCTTTCAGCAATGCCGTCAAGGCCATCCGGATGCTTACTACGCAGACGGTCTGGCGCAGCTACTCAACTACCAGTGCAACTGGTCAGCGTTAGAGGACAAGACACTTCTTGTCGGGCCAGCAGATATGGCACCCTCCGCCCCAATCTTCCACAGCTGCTCAGGCAACTCCGCATCCGGTTTCCCTGCCGATCAAATGACTGCATTAAGAAACGTTTGCAAGATCTCAGTTGGAACATCATGGGAGCAAGGGAACGCCTCTATAACTGCTCAGCTATTTCAGTTACGCACGCCGCCTCACCATCTCTCCTTCTCACTCAGTCGCCAAGTTCCCCTTACTACCCTCTGACCGAAGAGGTCCACCCACCACTCCATTTGAACTCCACAGGCATGATTTCACCCCTCTCGTGGCGCGGTTCCCATCTGAGTGACCATCAAGACGACTCTACAGTCACGCTGAATGTCAGCACACACAACATACGTTACCTTGACGTGGGCTGGCGACAGCCCGCCGCTCTATCGCCCAGTCTATCATTATCCTCCGCCTCACCATACGAAATCACTCCAGGGGTCGATTTGGATGAATCATGCGCCGACAACCATGCGAAGCTCGCTACAGATACCTGGGACCTAGTTACAGAAACTACAGGTGACCAGGTTGCCTTTCAACGTTTTATGGCGGAAGCCAGAGAAAAACTGACCCAATGCAAATCACAAACTGAACACCGTGCAGCTACCCTGCGAACAGTCAGTAAAGACCTGCAAACGGGGCACTCTAGGACAGAATTTAGTAACGACATGGAAAGAGTGTGCTCAACCCTATTCCCTCACACATGGCGGCCCAGTAAGCGCAGACAAGGGGCATTTACAGTCTCAAACAATCGTTAGCAACGGCGACTTCGATAAGACCAGATACAACCCCTCTAGCATCAGCGAAGAAAAGATGGTTCCGCCAAAGTTGGAAGACGGCATTCATGCCGGATAAAGAGGTGTACCCGAGTTGCGACTACTTCTGGAACGATATGTGCTCGCAACACCCAGTACCTGATAACCGGGCACCACGTGACTGTGCGAACAGTAACTGGGATCTCGGAAAAACCTTTAACCATTGAGGAAACGAGTTCTGCACTGCGAGCAATGGATGGATATGCACCCGGTGTAGACCGTACCACACCAAAAGACATCAGTTGTATGGATCCGAGATTCACAACGTCTTTTCAAAAGCCTTTGATTCCATCTCCCATGCTTCGCCGCTTCGCGCAGCCTCATATTTTGGTGCCCACCCTCTTTTCTTCTACTTTACCTAAAGTCATATAATTTTTCCGAAAGTTCAGTCAGCAACGGTCTGAGGATTCACCAAGGGCGTGAAGTCCGTCAGGGAGATCCATTTTCTCCCTTGCTCTTCGCTATGACACTTGAGGAAACGTTACACACAATCTGACACATAGTGGATTTTCCCGGCATGTCCAATCAATCATGTCGCTTACGCAGATGATAGCGTACTATTTGCTCGTGACCGAAAATCCCTGATCAAACACCTAGGGCGATTTAGACAGGATATACAGCCCCTTGGATTAATAATAAACCCCATGGGATCGATGGTACTAGATATCACCGTCAACAGCAAAAGAAAAAATTCACCTATTTTGAACACTGCGCAGCTTCCCTGGGGCGCCCTCCAGATCCTCTCGATCCAACCACCCGAGGGAATTCCGACTACTTGGATTACCATTTGACTGGAAGAGCAAAAGCCCGTCCAACTCTCTAGACCAACTGAGAACACAGCTGCAGGAAAAAACACAATTCCCCCTCAAACCCTACCAGCGCATGGAATTCTTGCGCACCTATCTTTTGCCACGTCATACACATTGCCTCTCTTTGGCGGCAGTACACCGGAAGACTTTCAAATCGATGAATAGGCTGGTCCAGGCAAGTATACGAAAACAGCTACGACTCCCCAAGAATCCCAGCATCGCTTTTTTCCCCGATCAGTTGAGGATTATGGCCTAGGGGTTCCATGCCTTTCTAGTATGATCCCATTGCTTCGGAAGGACCGGCTGGAACGCCAAGTTCCACTCTCCCACCCAATTATCAGCTGGGCGATACGGGAACGTTCAGCGGTTACCATCCAGCGCCTCGACATGCAACCCGGGATCATTGCTATTCAGGTCGTCTTTGACAAAAGTGACGCCATAGAAGTATGGGAGAATTCACTGCCAAACTGTTGACGGATCCTTGATTCGTGGGAGGGAGGGAATTACGACGGCAGCGTCTCACAATGATAAGAAACCCCGAGAGAATTTTCCCCATACTCTACATCAGAGGAACCCAACTTCACGCAGGGCTACTATCGACAAATTCACAACGCTTCAGGATATGACCCATCCCAAACCCAACCGATCTTCACTGCCGGGGAGCTTGCGGACAAAACGAAGCACTTTCTCACCTCTTGCATTATTGTGCATTAACCCACGATGCTCGCTGTAGGGGTCACAACAATATCTTAGAGTAACAAACCAACACCCTTCGTCACAAAGGCGCCCAAATTATCCCGGAGCCCCGCATCCCTGCGGCATCCACGAACATGAAGCCGGATTTGATCGCCATCAAGAACTCCACAGCACACGTAATGGACGTGGCAATATGCGACACCTACAGAATGTCCCGTAGGTATCAACTAAAAATTGACAAATACAGTGTAGGTGCTCGTGCGGAAGCCATAGCACGCCTTGTGCGCTCGGAATTTCCAACGGCATGCATCATTCGGCGGTAATCCTCAACAACCGGGGTCATATATTCCCAGCGTCCGCCAAGCACGTTTCGGCACCGGGGGCTAACCAAACTTGACATATTCGACTTGTGTGTGCCTACCATGAGAGGATCCCTTCAAAGTGTACGACACCTACATGCGAGGTGTCATGTCAAAAAAACATATCACACTAACAACGTACACCCGTATGTTAGCGAGCGATTCCGAGCAATTTTTTGCTTTTTAGATGAATACTGTCCCAATATTATGCCAGGACATTTGTTCCATCGCGGCGAATTTATATAATGCCCAGGCACTGGGCAATGCGTGGATTTTCCGAAAATATACGTTCATGGACCGTGATTTCAATGGAAGTGAACCTTGGTCAGTTCAATCACTAGAACTGTAGCCGAAGCGGACGGAAAACTGGGTGTAGCCCACCCTAAAACACTAAACGCAACCAGTGCTTTAAAAGAACTCAGAAAACAGTTATTAGCCGTCGTACCAAGCGTGACCCGTCGTGACGCGGTGGCTAGGGTTACTAGTTTCGGCCAATATTCCAATAGCCCCGGGCTCGAGGCTTTTGTCTATATCTGGTTATACCAAATAAGGTCGAAACGCATCGTAGTGTGCAGTGGTTTCAAGCGAGCAACACCCAAGTACCATCTGCAACATTATTCTGATTAGTATTATTACTGTCAGGTTATTAATATAGAGAAATAAATCAAAATAATTGAATCCGCCGCCACATTATGGTGAAAAAATCACAAGTGACCGATTGAATAATACTGGAGCGAAAACCATAAACGGGCAAATAGCCCTTCGCATTACCTTACAAAGTGATGGGCAAGGGCTACGCGAGAACAGCTTGGAAGAGCGCGCAGTTTCAGATGGCTCCAAAAGACTCGTTCGAACGATCTCAATGCCTGCATTAGTGTTGTATAAGAACACGGCGAATTCGCGGCCACGAAAGAGTGCCCCAGTCGCTTGTATCGATGTCGCCGCGTCCCATCGATGGATATACGGGGGAGGGAACCGGTTCAGCCATCTTTTGACGTGCGGTAGGGAAGGAGAGTTCAGTTCGGAACATATCTGAAGGAAAAATAACCAAGGAAAAACGGAAATAGGAGTGAGTTGCAAGCCAGGTGGATAGGAACAGGTGGAAAAACAGTGCATCTGGAAGTCAACTGAAGACCAATAGTTAGGCGCGCCTCTTGAAGCGCATATCCAACGATTCAGTTAGGAGGGCCCGCCAATTTCAGATCAATGCTGTGTTAAGGGCGCCTGGGTGAAGCATTTGAAAACCCCAAGTAAGGGTAACAAAATCAGTCTTTCAAGGTGGATATAACAGACGGCCAAGGGCTGCAAGTCAGTGGAATGAACCGCGCAACATTGCAACTGCAGTAGCATTTTACTTAGATTGTGTGTGTCACAACTTATCCACCCTACCTCCCAAACTGCATGTCTGAACATAACTAAATTATAACTTGTTGCGGCTTTTCAACCTGTTGCACAAAATGACCTACCACGATCTGCCTACACTCGAACTATAACAAAGAGTAAACAGTAAATATACCGAAGGCTAGAATGAACATTCGCTCTAATTTCTTTCTGATCAGACACCGATCTGTGGAAGAAATTGCGAATCACACTCAGATCAGGTGACAATGCGGCAACATTTGGTAACAAGCTCTCGTGTTACCTTGATCTAAGTACCATAATGACTATATTCATATGGGAAAAATCGCTCGATGAGCTATTCCAAGAAGAGGCCAAGAAGGTCTAAACACTCATGTTCTCAAACTTTTGTTTTCGTCTCAACGATTCATTAAAGCATGATTAAATGAATCGCACGCCTAATTATTCTACATGTGCATATCACCCATGTAGGAGCATGGTTACTTTCGTACAAATTGATCTGTGTCGCTACAGACAATATCTAGGATCACGAGAAATAAACCTATTATTATTATTAGTAGGTCCTTACAAATCTATGGTAGGAGATACGTGGCGCAGAGCTCCGTGTATCTGACCTGTAACCTCTATGCCATATGTCCTCGTGTCCGCACCTGCGTAGATCTGGACACCTCTGTAGTATGGTTGGCTGTATCCGATTCCAGATGTACCTGTCACTGCGGCCTCCACAGGACAGTTACAGGACGCCTGTGCCTACTGAGGGACCATGGGTGGCTTGCGCTGTACCATCCACAGCTCCATACATACATCGCATATGCACTGTAAAACCCGAAGGAATAAGAGAGAGGCATGTGGATGGGAGCAATGGAACATCAACGGAGCTGACACACACTCCCACTCCACATGAAAAGCGGCAGAAGGAGCATTCCTGTCAGGCGTACCACGCGTACACAAGCCGGCCCGTAGCCTTAAGGACCACCTGCCAGCCTTGTAATCTGAGGGCGCGGGTTCGCGCCTACGTAGGGACCGGACGGCCCTCGCAGTATCCTAGGCGTGCGTACGACCGGTGGTGGTTGCGCTGCGGTGAAGCGTCGGTACTGCGCACCGGCGTACTGTTGATGTCTTTACAGTGGCTGGGCCGTAGTCCGTTCCACATAGGATGGAGCTACTCTTAGAGCCTAGCAGAGTCACGAGGACAGTGCACCCCGTCTCCCCAAGCAACGATCAACGATGTAGCGGTTTTTCAACAAGTAGGCACCTTACCAACACTCATATCAGGCGCATCCACATCGAGGATACCAAACAACAAACACAGAATACGAAAGGAAATAAGCACGCAAACTGAACAGCAAATGTGTAATAGAATACCAGAACAGAGCAACTCGAAATATATGTATTAAGTCTGATCGATTGTTAGAGTGATCTTCGGCAAGTTTAAGTGAAAAGAAGGAGATACCATCAATCGACTAACACCGAGAAATAAACAAAAACAAACGTGTAAAATAGACCGAATAAAATGGGTTCAGTCGCATCTAGTGTATCGCAGAACAAGCGTTAGTCGCTCTGGACCAAGTGCGGTGAAGAAGCACAATAAATGCAACATCAACCTCAGCACGATGCAATATACAAACACTTGCAATCGCATAGCGAAACATTGGTAGTAGTGCTGATGTGTTGCTGACAAGTTAGGCCTCTCCGGAAGACTTTGTCCCTCCCTAGTTTGAGACAGGTTACGGGTGTTTCTGATACGTTTGGACATTTTTATGTGTCCCATGAGTAGTTTTTTGTTGGTTTCACTGTTAGGCTATCAGGTGTGTAGCTAACGCAGGGAGGGTACGTACATCAATTACGCTAACATCGTACAGTCTTGGAACGTATTGTCATCAAACCCGCAAGCAAACAAATCAGAGTTGGCTGGCATACGTCAGTCGGGCAATGAACAAAAATCTTCGCTATTAAATTAGCAATTTCGCAACGGTAGTGACCACGCATGCGTGGATGGTTGGGTTCAAGTAGCATAAAACGTGATATTTCGGCAAGGCAACTGAGAAACACCTGAATGATTGGCGGTATGTTGCACGTCTGACGTTCCCCTCAGCTTGGAACATCAGCCTTAAGGTTGATCAATGTGAGAGCTGATAAGGTGCCCACTCAAAAGTACGATATCGTAGGGACCGCTGGCACTACTGAATGGTACGAGATCCATGGTCTTCATGAGTATATTAGGTTTAAGGATAAACTTTAAGATGGAAACAAATACTTGTTTCTCCAAACTTGAGCCAGGGTTCAGTAAATAGGCATGATCCACCTAGTGTGTTTCGTGGCAACCACCATTTTGCTTGCCTAGCAGACCACATTCCTTGTTCCTACTTTGATCGGCAGGTCCTAACACGAAGCGTACAACTCCATTCACCATGGCCACATGTCCCCATTTTAGGCCACCAGCTCGGACATTTTGTTCCAACTCTAGACTCTACAAGCCAAATCTCACGTATTGTGCTGAACCTCGTTGTTGCATCTCACTTTGCACGTTTTGAATTGATCCGCTTGATTAATTGTCATCATAACCGCATTGAGGGGGCTGTGATGTCTGGTTATACCATGTCACGTTTCATCGATCGTCCATGGAAATGATTCCCGCTCATGTTGAATGGAATTCTGTCCTCATGCGTAATCAGCAACAAAGTGGCCACTAACGTCCGCATTCATCGATCGTGCTGCTGTAAGTCGGTTCAGTTCCGCCTCACGGTGAGTTATGTTCGTTTGGCTTACTCAGTTACTTGTATATAGGTAGAAAAGTCGTTTAGGTTAGTATATTAGTTGTTATTATATATTTTGTTAAACGACACAGAAGTTAAGTTCCGGCCTCGTTTGGTCGAATTTTTCCGGTGGTGTAGACGTTGCTCGAGCTTCCTAAGCGATTGGTCGCTTAGGACGCAGTTGGACCGATTCAGCTACCAGAGCTACATCAGGGCAGCGAAGAATTAAGAGCCAGGAAGGCAATAATAATCATTTCCACTCACATGCCTGTCAGTACTTATAGCTTTTCGTAATTACATCGGATACGAGATGAGCGGCTTGAGCTGTGGGCAGTGTGGTGCGATCCATGTATGGTCGTATGAGATGACACGCAAATAAGGAAATCAATGGCAGAAACCAAGAAAGTGAGCGCGCTCTTTGATCTAAGACTTTCCGCTTAGGTAGCTCCCAAGAACTATGATGCGAGAGAAATTCAGTTTGAGCCCAGGAAATGGGACAACCTCAAATCGTCGGACAAATCCGAGCACCATTAATGACAGAAATTTAGCAATCCAGCAAACTATTTTAGTCTCAATAATTGCAAACTATGAACATTTATTGAATGCTCGAGGTCAAAGTGCTCAAGAGGCTTTGGGATCTCAGAGAAAGACGAACGGCCAAGACAGTAGAATGGAAAAAACAACTTCCAGATGAGTATACTCCTGTGTCCAAAAGGTAAGCGTATCGATCTTATTCAAATGCATATAAGACTGACCCGAAATTACAAGTTATCTCTTCCAAAGTATGACCCCTGGGAAGTTACACAGTGTTCTTAACATTTTCCACTGATCACAACAGAAATAGAGGTCATTTTCCGTAAGAGTACTAAGTTCATTCGCTACAATTTTGCTTACTTTTCCGCAGTTGCATGATGAAGACCTAGAAATTTAGGGAAGAGATAGAAATCGCATGGAGCTAGATCAAGGCTGTAGGAAGATTGTGGTAGTGTAGGGATGTTATTTTTCGCCAAAATCCCGAAATGAAAACGATGTGTAAGCTGACATGTTATCGTGGTGCAGCACGCAATCATCTGTAATGCTCCTTCGGATTCGCTGGACAGTTTTAGAAGTTGTTCCAAGACACTTTTGTAGAAGGCCTGATTAGCGGTTTGTCCTGGATGTACAAATTTTTGGGTACACTTCCACGACTGTCAATAAAATCCAACGATCATGGTTTTCATCCTGGAATTGCTGAAGCGCGTCTTCTTCGGAGGAGGAGAATTGTTCGTGTGACGTTCCTCACTTTACCGGTTGCTTTCCAGATCATACTCGAATATCCAGGACTCGTCCCGTTTAAGAACTTTATCCAGGAAATTTGTTTCAATTACCAGTCTTCCCAGCAAATCCATACAAATTTCCGACCGGTCGTCCTTTCGCTCCACAGGCAAGTCTTTGGGCAGCAGTTTTGTTCAAATGTCTCGCATGCGTAAAACGTTTGTTAAAATTCTATGAACTGCACTTTTGCCCAAGCCACCTTCTTTTGCAATCATCTTGACACGCAATCAGCGGTCTTTCGCAAGCATAACTCACACAACTTCCACATTTTGATCGTTTGTTGATAAGACTGGCATTCCGAAACAAGGTTCGACTTCAAAATTTTCTCGACCTTTATACCACGTAAAACCATATTCCTGGATACAGCAGCCTTCTTATAAGCGTCTGCTAAACTTCCAAATGTCTCAGTGGCAGACTTTTTGAGTCTCACGTAAAATTTGACAGCGTGCCGTTGTTCGATATTTCGTTTCATCGCAAACGTAACGAGGCAATGGCACATGACTTTCCACAAAGTGCTGTAGCGAGAGTATGACCCATTCGGTTGAGTTGAAACAAATCTAGACATGCAGCTAAAATCTGTACCCATACGCCGATATCCACCAA